TTTGAATTCTCAATAAATAATTTAAGATTTTCCACACATAATTGATTATCAGGAAGAAATTTCTGTAAATTGTCATTCTAGTCAATGGTTCGTTTGGCATAAGTTTAATAAAAATGGAAATTTGAACTCAAATGAGAATCCTGATAAAACTAAGCATTATCAAAAAAAGTTGATTAGATATTAAGTGAATATTTCTGTTGAAGAAATCTAATTAGACAATCTCTCGTAAAATATTTAATAACTGACCGAAGTCTATTGACCGATTAGAGTCGTCTATAAACAATATACCGTCAAATTCGATTGCCTAAAGGATGTTTAATAGATATTTTCGTCCAATAAAATTTGCTGATTTTTGTGTCGATGGTACGTCGGCAAATTAATGTTATTCAAACGGACGAAAGAACCATCGAACACATATGTCAGACAGTCAGGCCACCTATATATATTCATGAATAAATCAAGCAAAGAAGACATTCTTTTTTTTCTTTTAAAACAACGTCAATCATTAATTATTCTTTTCCATAAAATGAATAATGAAGATGTTGCCTCGATTATTCTGTCGTCGAATTATTCTGGTGCATATGATCAGAAACCGCTAACAAATGAAGATATTGTTCAACTCACAGATCAACAGCGAAGTATTATTTATGGTCCAACTCTCTTTGCAATGAAGTATCGAGTTCTTCCTTGCACAGTAAATCAAAGTATACATTCTGCTTCCGGCCACTATAATGATGCTTCCACATTTAATTCGATTGGTCAGTTCTTGGCTTGTACGCGAGGACGAAAATGGTCTTCAAAAAGAAAACAGGGAGGAATGTATCATGCCACGAGGTTAGTCAATTAATTTCGATCTGTTCTCTCAACGAAAATAATTGAACTTTTGTTTCTCAAACAGTGCTATACATTTTATCGTCAATGAATATAAATGTGATCCAAATACATTTATTTACGATTGGAGTTATGATATATTGGATAAGAGTTCTCTTATTTCCAAGGTTTATATTGATTTAGGAAATTATTTATCAGGTAAAAACAAATTAACTTTTTTCCTATAAGAATGTTTATTTTCTGAAAATTGTTTTTTGCATTTGTCAATTCTTAACAAGATTTTAATTTGTTACTTGATTTAGTGCAATTCAATGGTGGTTGTATAAGTCCGACAAATGTAGATAATCCCAATGATCTAGAACCAGATCAGGAAGAAAAGATCTTTCATTGCTTTTCTAATGTTAAGGTAAACATTTACTATGAATACTGATATATTAGATTTATTTTCATAATCAATTTTAATTTGACATTAAAGTCGATAAAAGATTTTATAGATTAAAATATTCATGATTATCTTTAACTAAATAATATATATTCTAAAACATCAATTTAAAAAGTTATAGATTTGACAAAGAAAATCTTACTTGAAAACTGATTTTCTTTTTGTTAAGTTTAGTCATCTTCAAAGAAATATTTCATCAATCAACATCCTATCTTTATTTCTAGGTATCACTTTTTATGAAGTATCTTTTAAATGATTCTGAAAATTCTCAAGAAATTTTTTCATACAGTTAAAAATCGATCTTTACTAAAAATCTATTCGTTTTCTATTCAGATCTTCCATGTTCCTCAAACAGCAGATCGTGCACGAACACTTTTTGAACAATTGTCAAAATTCAAACTATTCCCGGTTACTACGGCTACCTTACAAATGGTTTGTCATGATGCTCAAAATGGTTTCTACACTTCATCAATTCGTATGAACCAACCTCACATTATCGATCTTAAACTTCACTATGGTGACGAATTTGAGATTATTCATGAACAACTTCTCGAAATACTACAAGAAAAAGATTCTACTGGTATTACCTTTCTTCATGGTCCTCCGGGTACCGGCAAGACTTATTATTTACGCTATTTGATCAATGAAATTAAAGAGAAGAGTTTGATCTATGTTCCACCTGATCTTGTCAACGTAAGTCAATTGATAATCTATATTAATATTTATTCTTTTCTCTCTTGCTATTTTTTAATTCTTCTTACCTGTTTTTGAAGACTTTATTTATAGAATTTCTTATCAACATGTTTCAGGTAGTAATATACAATTTTCTTTTTTTTTTTTAAATTTCCTTTCCAATCAATCTGTGCCGAGAAGTAAATTCGTTAGGAAATTATATATATTCTCAGTATCCTTTTACGTCTATACTTCCATCAATGGAAATAAATAAAGGATTATCGATATTTTTTAAATTTCTCAGATAGTTAGTTTCTAGGTTGGAGATCTTTATTTCAAATGAACTTCGCTTGGTTGATTTCCTAATTCAACTAAAGAGAAAATTCATTATGATTCTATGAGAAAACCATTATTCGCAGAAACATACTTTAATTCCTTTTCTCATAGCTTTTACAACGAGCCTCAAGAAACTCAATCTTTAAACAGAGAAATTTGAATTCTTCGAAAATACTAATTTCAAAATCTCTGCTGAATGAAGTATAAAAATTGTCATGTATATAGTATCAACTAATATTTTAAGAGAATGTCTCTCAAAAACGAACAAACTGATATTGCTTTTTTTCGTTCTAGGATATGACGAAGCCTGGTTTCTTACCCTTTCTCATGCAACATCCAAACTCAATTCTCATCATCGAAGATGCCGAGAATATTATTCGTGATCGAATACAGGAGAGCTTTCTACCCAATCAGGCTGTAGCCAATTTACTCAACCTTTCTGATGGTCTTCTCGGTGATGCCATGCATCAACAGATTATTTGTACGTTCAACTGTGATGTTAAAGGCATCGATCCTGCTCTTTTACGCGATGGACGACTAGTAATTGAACACAAGTTTGATAAGCTCAGCGTCCAGAATGCTCGTCGTATGTGCGTGGAGTTAGGTATATCCGGCAATGGTGAAGATATTCATGAACCAATCTCTTTGGCCGAGATCTATGCACGAAAGAATGGTGCAGTGGCATATTTGGCAAACGGTCTTGGAAATGGTCATACAACAACAATGAAGAATAAACGACCATTGAAGAAACGAAATCAGAAAGCTGATCCTTTTCTTGGCTTTTATTCTTAATTGTTTTCTTTATTAATTTACAGAAAATATGAACGAATGAATAAAATACATACCTAATGTCAATCTCTTTGGTCGTCTTTAATTGAATTTTTACGAAACAAATGTGTTATTCAGCATTGATAAGAAAATTGTTGATCATTCGGATCAGTATTTATTATTCGGACTTCAGATAGCGGAGAAAAAATCAAAATCTACTTTTGATATATAAAGTTTTACTACGATTCAAAGTTGGCCATCGATACTCATTATTATTTTCTCAGAAAAGATATCATTTATTGTCTCACGAAGAAACTCTTCCAACTGACTCCAAGATTTCGGCTTCATGTTTTGGCTATGGGTAGGCCTTAGTGAGACTAAGAAAATACTTGAAGCGTTCGTGCTTATGCGATACTGCTCCAAAATTATAGCTGTTTTACTAAATTTTCGACCTACGGTGCGGTATTTACAGGAAAGTGAAATGGAAGTATTTCGATCTGATATTCTGTCCTTAAAGAGCTCCAGTGATTCCCACCCTGCATCAAAATTTTTTAACCAAGACAGATGCTTCATTCTTGAGATACTCAATTTTCAGGACAGTTCCATTATTGTGCTCTGTCTGTTATAAGCAGACAGTTTTTGGAAATTGAATATCTGAATAATGAAGCATCTGTCTTGGTTGAAAATTTTGATACATGGTAAGAATCATTAGGGCTGTTTATGGGCAGAACATCAGATCGAAGTACTTCCATTTGATTTTCCTGTAGACACCGTACCGTAGGTCGAAAATTTAGTAAAACAGCTATAACTTTGGGCCAGTATTGCATCAGCACGAACGCATCTAGGATTTCCTTAGTCTCATTGAGTCATATCTATAGCCAAAACATGAAGCCAAAAACTCGGAATTAGTTGGATAGTTCCCTCGTAAGTAGATACTTTTATTGCAAAATGACACGAATCTTATTTTTTAAATTTTTTAATCAAACGATCTTGAATCAATTTTACTTACAATGAAGGTGTTTGTGTTGCTAGTTAAAAATATAGGACATATTCGGGTCAAATGAAAGCTTTCACTGCCAAATTAACAAGGTTAACAATATCAACGGCTGTTGGCTTA